TTTGAAGACACCTTGTATTTTGTGAATTATTTTGTTCAAAGTGATCTGTTCAAACTATTCAAATAGTATCTTCTGTAGCTCTGATGACGTACTATAATACTGAGATGTTAATATTTTCATGATTTTAGTTATCTTAGTTTCTTTTTTTTTATATCAACCGTTTTACTTCAGTGAAATCAAATTTTAAAGCATATTGCATGGTTTATTTAATTTTCCGCTGATAAATAGTTATTTTAAAAGTCCTCTACATATCATACGATGCAGAATTTCATGCGCTATATTTTGATACTTAATATATTTTTGAAAATCACTAGTTTTCATAAATAATATTCAACTACTCTTAATTAAGATTACTTATTACAAAAAAACGAAAGATTTTGGTCTCGTTTTCAAGTGGATGAATCGTATTCCATTTATACTATAGGATCATCGATATTAAATCATGTATATCTCTTCTTTGAAAGCTTTACTTAACTTAAAAATATCACAGGAATACTCATCTCAGTATTTTTTGAATTTTGTGACTTGATTATTTTGCGTGAATTTTATTACCTTCTTTTTTCTCTGTTTTCTATTTGTAGTGAAAAAGTCAACTTGCTGTCACGTCCTAGAATTGAGGCAATGGTAAATCATCTATGAAAAAAAGTTGAATATTTCCATTAAATGAAAGTCATTTAATAACTTATTTTACACTAGTCAATTTGTCATCGGTAGATCGATCTAATGGTATATCTTTTAGAAAAAATTATTACTGAACAGAAAAAAAAACTACCAAAGATGCACTCTACTTCCTAAATAATCTTTTTTTTTCAAATCATATGTTGGACATAATATTTTTCTTTGATCATATTTATTGTGACATTCGAAAATAAATCATTCAATAGATCTAATTGAGCTACAGCAATTGATGCACGGTTTATTATATTCTTTTAAAAATTATAAAAAAATTTAGGCTGAATACTAAGAAAATGCATCCATACATTTTTGATATTGCAACGATCATCTTATTTTTGAGCAAAGCGTAGGCAAACTTTCAATGATACTATATCAAAATATTCTGCTATGTTTTATATGAATACTTTCTTTTTTTCAATGTTTTTTCGTTCCAACTGTACCAATGGAATATAAATTATCCAAGTACATCAATAGAAAGAACAGTAAAAATAGAACAAAATGATACGTCTTACTATAATTGTAAGCAGCATTATACCCTGTATTACTACACTTTATTGATAATGCAAGGCAAGTCTAATATACAACATAGATTTAAATTTCGAAATCTAGTATATTTTCTAGAGCATAATTTATACTTACAGATGAGATGTCACAGTCTTCTGTAAATCGAATTTTAGAATCGATCTAATGCTAAGGCACGTCTCATTCAAAAGTATAAATTTTTCTCTATAAAATATACTGGATTTCCAAATTTAAACCAATGCTATTCATTAGACTTGTATTGCATTGCACGTACAGTATAGTAATAAAGTGTACTATATAGCTTATAATAATAGTAAGATGAATCATTTGGATGGAAGTTCTAGACCATTTTATTTAGTTTTTAATGTTCTTCCGATCGATCTATTTATAGATGAGAAATTATTAAAAAGATAATGATTATTATCAAGATATAATTCATTAAATTCTGCATCAAATAATATATAGAAAACTTTTAAAATAATTATTAATCAGCCTAAAATTAATGAAATATTAAATGTATCTTGAAACTTTTTTCTATTGAAAAAAAATTGTTAGTATAAAAAAACCTATTAGAACTAAAACTTCGAAAAAATTCATACCTTAGTTGTAGAGTGCATCCTGAAAGTTACAGAAATCACTGTTTGAATGAATTTAAAAAAATTATTTTAAATAAAATAATCCACAAAATACGTAATGCCTTCAATTTTTCTTCCACTTTCTATCCGATTGTGAAAAAGTCACGATAACTTACAAAGAGCGAGTACGACAGACACTATTGCATATGCAAGCAAAGAAATAGGCTATGATAAACACGCGGCACGTCGATTTGTCGGGGAAAATTATTTTTGCGTTTCTCTTTTCAAAGAACGCAATGATGGCTGATGAAATAATCTACAGTGTACGTTGTAGTCTGATGAAATTTCTAGTGGAAAAGAAAATCTTGGTATTCATATTACTGTTACCAAAATAGATGATGATGAGCGATGATGAAATCATTTTTTACGTAGTTATTTCACACCATCGCAATAATATATTGTGTAGGTCGTTGCTGCTTTTTTCTTTTTCTTTTCTTTTGTTTCTCTACTCTTATTCCTCTTCTCAATGAATAATGAGTCTGTAACATAAAGAAGTATATTTTAAATAATGATATTTATAGACAACTTAATCGTTAAAATAACATTTGAGTATTTTCTATGCCTTTTTAAACTTGTAAATTCGAAAATTCCTGGAACCACAACACCATTTATGTTTTCAGTACATTAATGAATGTTCATATGTCTAGAATGAGTCATCAATATCGCTTTGTGATTGCTTCTTCTTTGTTTATATCGTTCACTTGCTATTGTTTTTTTTCTTATACTACATATATATATTTACATATCTGTTTACAGAATGAAGCAATGATAGAAATGCAAGTCATTTCAACAGACACTTTTACATGGCGACATCTGAAATTTTAGAAAGGATACTTAAAATAAATACTTGTTCCCTTGATTGAAAATGAATCGTACGGAAAAACTTAAAAGAATTTTGTACATATGTTCCTTTTTTTTTGCTCTTAAATGTAACACTCGATAACCCTTACATGATAATATAAGAAGAAACTAAGATATTTAAGCACTGAGCAACAAATATGAATGCAATGAGTTTTATCGTCGCCACCAATATCTTTATATCGAGTATTAACCTAGTTGGCATGGAAGTGAAGACAGTAAACACAGAAACGGAAAAAAGAATGAAGAAGAGAAATGATGAAAAAAAAAGTGAAAGGTAAAAGAAAACACCGGATCGAAAAAGAGGTGAAGAAAAAGAGTGGGACGATAAGAAAAAACGACAGCGAAGGACGATGTACATGTGCATTTCAATGCTAAAAAAACGAAAGAAAGAAAAGAAGAATAATATAGAGATATTGCATGTGCTATTCTTTGTATACCATTAGTTTATTTCAATAAATGATATCTATTTTAAGAGGAGCATTTCATGCTTATCTATTCATTGTTTTTACTCGATTGCTATGAAAAAACTGGTCAAGGCGATCCTTCTTTTTTTGTTTTATCAAAATTATCCTAAATAAATGCGGAAACTTCGGATTTAAATCCGAGAGTTATGTGTACTTCAAAAAGTGAATTAGACAGATGAGTCATCCGAGAATATGTGGATATCAAAATTATACTGGGAAACCTTTTCTATAAACTGTTTATTTCTGTTGACTATTGATCCATCAATAGGGCTTGGAGGCGAATAAAGCTCAAATTTGAACTCTTCGCCTTGATTTATCCTAAGAAAGTCGTTTTTCCTATAACTTGATTTCTATTGGTCACTGCTCAACCAATAGTATTTCGAGGCAAGTGGAGTACGGATTCGAGTTCTCCGCCCCGGAAAACCTCAAAGTATCAACTCTATGATCGGAAGATAGAGCTCGAATTGTGAGTCAATTAGATGGTGGACAAAAACGGAACCTATTTCCGTTTAAGTATCTTTGTAATAGGTGAGTTAGCCTTCTCGTTCCTTTATGTTTTATATACCATTTTGCAGCTCGTGAAATTCTCTATCGAATGGTATATAATAGTTGGGGTTTTATTTGACTATGATGGGAAAAGTCTTTTACGAAAGCTGGGATAGGTCGATTTTCACATAGGAAGCTATAGGGAAAAATGACTATTTTTGCAATAACTCACGAATGTCTCGGCCGATCATGCTCATCTTCGAACTCGATCGAGACATTGTTAAGACTAAACTGTATAGAAAATTTCATCGTGATTTGACTCGCTTTTCAAAAGTTATCGTGTAAACGGACGGACACACTGACCGATTCTAGAGTGTACTCACTTTTTGAGTACACAAAAAACAAGGTTTCATTATTTTGTTTTCTCATTAAATATTTACTTGGAAAGTGTACGAGGAACTGTGAGGTTTTGTGGCAATTGATAATGATTAAATAATGAATAAATTAATGATGATCCATCCATTGGTTTTATCCAAATTTGTGAACTAATTAAAGATTTGCTTGTCGATGATTTTCGTAATAAACAATCTATTCTGTTTTAATATAGATGAATCATCATTATAATATTCTTCAACTATATAAATCTGTAAGATTTTATTTATTTATATCAATGATAAAAAAAGAAATATATATACAAATATAATGTACACGTTCGCGAGAAATGAAGGCTATGCTTCTCTACTTTTTTTTTTCTTTACAGATCTTTATTCCTTTACCCATACTAGTGCTTTTACACTTAAGCGAGTAAAGAGAATGCAACCTCACGATATAGTTTAAATACTTAATAATCTCCAAACCATTGGTGGTCGAAAATCTATTAATTTGATTTCTTTTTCTTCATCATGTTCAACCTTAGTTAAGAACTAATCAACACTTTGACGATAAATAAATTTTTTTTCGGAATATAATTTTCTTCATCACAAATATCAATAATATATTGACGAAGTTCATCAAGAGTTCACCCTATTTCATCCTATTTTGCTTCAGACTAGACTAAAATTCTATAATCTTTAACATATTCTTCTATCAATGAATTTCGTTAGAGAAATCGTATGATGAATCATCATTTATATGTGTTGACTCGCAATTGAACTATTTTATTCAATAAAACAAAGGACGATCAGATTACGTTTTGTTATTGTCTTTTTATCTTTTCATTTCCTATGCATATGATTGTTAGTCAGTCAATTTTTTTTGAACATTTCGTCTCTAGTGATAGCCGTCATTTCCTCAGTGAACACTACAGATATAAACATTCTCATTGTTTTTGTTTTTTTTTTGTTTTTATTTTTGAGAAATGCCCGAAATCGGTTCATGTACTGACATAACATGTGATGATGAACTTAAAGAATTATATAAATGTCATTGTTGTTTACGTCTTATTTGTTTATATCATTTAAATGGACATGTTGAATTAACAAAACAAAATAAACGACGAACAGATAGTCTTCGTAAGGAATTACTTACAATTGTAAATACACTACAATTAATTGTTGAAGATAAATTATCAACTATTGTACGCGAACAAAATTTGATTGAACAAGCAAAAAAAATTCTTGACACATCGAGTAGTTCAATGGATGAATTAAAAAATATTTTCGAAATAATTAACCAAACAATAGCATTAAATCGGACAGGTAAAAATTAAATTAGATAATGATATTTTTTGTAAACTTGTTTTTCTTTGCTTGTTAAAAAAAGAAATTATGGTAAAAACCGAAGCATCATTATCAGAAACAACATATCGTCCTTCTCTTTGTAAATCTAATAAGGAAAATATAAATTCAAATGGTAAGATGAAATTTTTCTCTAAAATGTTTTATTTTATTTCATTTCATTCTATTTATTCTTGTTTACTTTGAGCGAACCATAGATACTGATGTGTAATGAGGGAGCTATCACAACTTATTAATTACCGTTCGAACTCGTATTAACAAGAAACAGATGACGCAGTAAAATAGTCTGAAAGTTACAAATAAAAATTTTCTGGTAAATTTGAATTTGTTCAGTGACTATTTAATACAAATCTGATATTTCGATGAATATTGTTGATGTAATTATGAGTTTACATGACGGAGATCAGTTCATGTAGTTTCCTTGTAACATACAAAAATTCTTAAAAGTATAATTTTTTTTTTGTATGTTTAGATGTAGAAGAAGAACCGAAAATCTCAAAAGGTGAGTGACATTTTCTTGAACTTCAAAAAAGAAAAACATAATTAATTTAAGATAATGAATATTCAACGGATATCAATCATAATATTGTTGATATTATTACACTTGAGTAAGTTTCTTTTTGTTAAAAAAAAAAAAGATTTGAAATTGATCGTCATATTTTTCTTTCTTTTAGTGGAATGGAAGAATCGATTCAGGTAAATATAATTTATTGTTTTTTTTTAATTAAACATCTTCTGAATAGTGTTATTATATAAATAGAAGATTAAATCTCGAAAAGATCTGAGTCAATGGATGAAATTCTATTGTGATTCAATAAAGTTTGTGTAAATTAGATTATTTTAGACAAGCAAATTTCTGAATTAATGAAATTCTAAGAAAACTCTTCGTATCTTACAGAGTTGTTCTGCAAGATAATTAATCATAGTACGATTTTACTATTGAAATTAGTTTTTTAAACGTATATTACAGATTTTTATTCAGTTTAAATATTTCTATTGATAAATTTCTCTTTCTAGAAAAGAGCTATTTCTGATCAAATACTATATGAAAGTAGTTTCTATAAATATTATCCTTCGTGATCTTGTTTCATTTTTCTGTATTTAACCCTTTGGGGACGGGAAGCCTATATATAGGCAACGACTCTGGACCGGATGATAACCGACTTACGCATATGTCTCTTATGATACTGTTATAATCTATATGCTGCACAGGTCATAGATCTGCCATGTCCGATGTAGTGTGACACTGTCATGTGTATTGCGCCCTCATTGATCTTGTTTCTAATATATACATCATTTTAGAGTTTCGGAAATCCCCATTCTTTTTCAAAGTAATCCCGTCATCAAAGGGTTAAGTGAACATTTATATAAGATACTTATTATATATTCGGTTCTATAATAGTTTTATTTTTCAGGATGAGAATGTAGATGAGAAAACAAAGAAATGTAAATCGACATCATTCAGAAATATTTATGGTAAATGTCCATTAACGTTTGATGGAGCATATGGTCTTACGAAAGCGAATCATTCTATTGAATTTTGTGAATATGGAACAACTCGTCGAATTGAATTATATCTTCACTTCACTTATAAACATCAATTAAAGAAAGTTTGTGCTCAACGTTTGGTACGAGCTTTTGCCGATCATAAAGATTCGAGGATAATAAAATTATTTGATGAAAATGAAGATGTGATTGATCATTTTTATAAAATTCCATGTCCTTTTTATCAACGAGTTAAGTCATTAAAATATAATGGACAAAATATAACCATTCCACCATGTCAACGTCGTTATGTTGCATTTTATCAATTAGCACGTCATTTACGACTTAATCATAAGATATCTAATTCATTGACACAAAAATTAGTTAATGATTTGAAAAAAAAATCGAACAAAAAATGATATTATTTTTGACTCCATTAATTACATAAACATGATCAGAAAAACAGAAAATCTTAAAATTATTTTTATTGATGTTTGTCTATCGTTTTTCTTTATTGTTAATAAAAATAAAGAATCCAATAATGTGAAATAGATATTTAGATTATTCTTTGTTATTAGTGTTTAATTAGTTTTTTTTCATTTCAATCTAATCAGTCAATTATAAGAATTCACCGAGAAAAAATACCAAAATTATTGGAGACTATGCGTAGATCTCAATAAGACTAACGAGGGAAGGGTCCCAACTGTCCAATCGCTTTTGAGCCAAGACTATGTGCATTATGTAGATTCAAATGAGTTATGAATACCCTGAAAAAAGTTCGGGCCGCTAGCCTATTGCTACGGAGATAGTGTACTTTTACAGTATTCTTCAAAAATGAATGCCGTGGTTCCCCTCAGGGACACCAGAGAAACTGATTTTTGAATTTCGACTTGAAACTTTGGATAGAGACAGGCCTTAATCAGAATAGTTTATTCTGAATGTTTCTAAGATTTTTTCATCTGCTTCTATCCTAAAATAAGAACATCAAATCTGCCAGTTTATGTAAACAAGTTATTCATAACTGTATCCTAGGATAGAAAGGGCGAAAAAGTCTGAAATATTCACAGCAAACTATTCTCATTAAGGTCTGTCTCTATTCAAAGTTTCAAGTCGAAATTCGAAAATCAGTTTTTCTGTATTCCTGAGGGGGACCACGGCATTTATTTAAAAATACTGTAAAAGTGTACTATCTCCATAGCAATAAGCTAGCGGTCCAAACTGTTTTCAGGGTATTCATAACTCATTTGGGTCTACATAATGCACATAGTCTCGGCTCAAAAGCGATTGGACAGTTGGTGCCCCTCCCTCGTAAGACAAAATTTTTTTAATTATAAGGGTAATAAAAAAAATTCTAATTACTATCAAATTGCTTCTAAATATGGGTGATATTGTTTCTCTTTATCTAAATAGTGGTGTGTCCATTCAATGATGACGAAAAAAGAAAACAAAGTGTTTATAAAATCTCGTAGTGTGAGCATGTGACAAACTGTAAATATATTGAAATGTAAACATATTGATCTGTGTACGCTATTGGAAGCTCATATTTTAAACTAGTTAGTCTATGGCTAAGAGCATTCATTTGATCCAACTATGACCAATCTCCTTAGTTCACAGTTACATGACCTTCAATTGTTAATTAACATTAAAAAAAAACCTAGCAAAAGACACCTAGTGTCGGATTCCTTTAAGGAAGCCCAAAACTCTGTTTACGAAAAATAATAAAGGTTATAGAATATCCATGATTTCATATTATTTTTTAAGTTTTCCTTTGTTCAGAATTCTTTCAATAAATGTTTGTGAGCTAAAATATTTTTAGAAAATTGTTCAAAAAATAATTAGCATTCATTCTTAAGTTCAGCAACGCAACAATTTACTGATATATTAAGTATTCGTCAATGGCTGTAGAACTAAGAAATTAGAAAAGTTTAAGAAAGGAAAGAAGATAGCACAGTATAAATCTATAATATTAATGAGTTATAGTCGAAATTAATTTCGTGAGTAAAGCCACTATCTAGAAACGTTTGAAAATCAGAAAAGTCAAAACACAACCGAGAAAATGTTCAAATTTCAGAACCTTCCCTAACTTTTCAAGAGATCTGGCTACTCTGATTTTAACTGTAAGTTTGGGTGAACATGAGTTCGATTTTATTAGGCAAACAGTGGCCACGTAAAGAAAGAGAAGAATAGATCAAAGAGACAAGAAAAAAACAGCACAGATGAAGAGAATACACGACCATATGTGTTTGTAGATATGTCTAAATATAGTGTGACGCATATATAGAAACATAAAAGAGAAAATCAGGAAATGAAATGATGTAGTTCGTAGGAAAAATGTCCATGTGTGTTGCACAGATACATATGAGGAAAATGCTCAACATTAACTTATGCATTGTTTTTTTTGCATTATTAGTACTTTGTTAGGCCTAAAATAGTTTTAACCTAAAAATTCTGGTTACGCCACTGAAATATATCAAATGCATAAAGTAGCACAGTATGAAAACATATCCTTCAATCTCAAAGAAATAGTTGATTTTTCATTAATTTGAAATTAAAAAACAAAAAAAATAAATACTTATTCTAAAACGCCTAGTTTTAAACCTTGATTTTAAGTATTGAAGTTTGTAGATAAAACTTGATTGTTAGAAGAAGATGATTCGTACATTTAGAGAATGAGTTCTACCATCTTAATTACAGAAGAACAACTGATGGTTTTGATTTAAAGTTGGCATAAAGTCAAAAAATAGCATTTGACTTTGTTTTTTTTTGCTTGTAAAAAATGCAAACATTACTCAAAATTTTTAGTTGTCAATAAAGACTTGCAATTTTTTCTCTATCATTAGAACAAAAAAAAATCAACTTATTTGATCAAAATACTGTTAAAATAACTAATTTAGTCACTTGCATTAGTTACCAAGAACTATTTTTGATAACTGTTTTAACAAAAGAAAGAAAAAAACGAAAATAAATATAAGATACATGGGAATAGTATTTTTTTGCCTTTGGTCTATTACGTGTCACTTACATATTTTTTTCTCTCTCTTTTATGTTGTCTGTCCTTGTGTTACTTGCACAGTTAGAAAATGAAAGATGAAACCTAAAATAATCAATACACCTTCACATCCTCAATAGTATATAAATAGACAATAGAAGCATAAAATTATTGCATTACATTCGTGAATATACTAACAAATATCAAAGAACCGTAAGTGTCTCCGAAACATGTTTATTTGAAAGAAAATGATTTGATGAATACCAATTCAGATCAAACAAACAGATGGCAAGATCTTACATGATCGTTCATCTGATCTCTTGTAAGATCAGATGAAATCGTACAAAACACTATGATCGCAGAAATCTTACATCAAGGCTTACTGTAAGATTTCAGAAAATCTTATGCGATGATGAGATCTTACAAGAGTCATACAATACGAATTGATGTAAGATATCTGAGATCATGAATTTTTTTACGATTTCATCTGATCTTAGAAGATTTTATATCTGATTTGTTGATCTGGGAATACATGATAAGTTTATGAATCTGATTATGATCAAATATATTATTTAGAAGATTCTTTAATAATTTCAAATAAATTTAATATTAGTTAGTCATTGTTTTTATTACTAATAGAGCTTCTAACTTTGTTTTGTTTTTAAATCAGGTGTTATGTTCTGTAGAATTCAATTATTCTAATTAACATTTGAAAATAATTTTCATATTTGATGATGCTAAATGAATTATTTCTTGATCATCTATTTTTATAGTTGTTATTCATTTATATCTTCTAAATTTGTTCAGGATGGACTATATCCATTTGATATGGTTTTTTTTTGTTTGTATAGAAATTAAGCTTTTTTCTTTTTCTTTTTCATTTATTTATTTATCTTGGGTTCTTCAATTATTGATAGTTACATATATGAATTAACGTACCAGTTAATAATTCAATAGGAGAATATTAATTTTGTTGTATAGATGTGTATAAAAATCTTAAATGTTGTTGACATGAAATATCTTATTTTTGGTATTTTTCTTTTATCTTTTAATTCATGATAAATCAACTTTTTTCTTATCATCACTAAGTGTATACTATATTTGAGAAAAAGGTAAATGTATGAAAGCAAATAACACATGAGATTTAATTGAAATAATCTATTTAATGAGAAATATATTTCGAAACTTTTAATGGAAAATTTTTTTGATCTTATACGATCTTTTTCAACCAATTGATTAATATAAGTTTTAGAATTAATCTATGTTTATGATATTTCTTAATCTATCTATATTTTTGTTTTGTATGCTTGTAACATTCATTATCTTGTTGTATGATTGAAAATAAACATATAAAATCGAAAATTTTAATAATAATAAAATTTATCATTAAAAGTTTCTAAATTCATTTCTCATTAGTTAGATTATTTAAATATTTTATTTCGAGAGACTTGTATGCGTAGATAATTATTAATCTACCATATAGAAATGACTTAAATTCAATTAAATACTAAATAAATATAAAATTTATTTTTGATATTAAAAATAAAATCTATGCCTCTAGTTAACTTTTCATTAAAAAAAACAAAAATATTTATATGATTTTATATGATTATGGATTTATTCTGATAATAACTATAAGATCTGTAACTAATGAAATGAAATCTTTCGAATACTATTTTCTGATTTAAAGAATATATTCTATTAACAACAAATATAACATATAAGAACAAGTTAAACATTTCATAGAGTCAAACAAAAAAATTCAATTGAATAGATTTGGGAATAACATGTTTCAACTAACTACATATGTATAGAAGATATTCAACATCGTAGACTAATTTGTTTATATTATTTTGCTTTTGTTTTGTATTCTCAGTTAAATGCTTTATTTATCTTCAATTTTATCCTGAAATAAAATTTAAAAAAAAAACCAAGATTCACAGCAAAAAAGAAAGAAAAATATCTTTGAATTCTTATAATTGTCATCAGAATAAATATATAACTACATAAACATATTAGTAAAAAATAATATCTTGATCTTTTTTTTTGTTTCAATAATTTCTTCGATGTTTATTCATTAAAAAAATTAAATGACTATTTTTGAAAATAAAATATCAACTCTAATATATATATATTTATTTGGTATTTACTTGACAATTTCATGGAATAGGTATGACTTTTATCCAACAAGTACGTTTAGGAAACAAGAGAACAATATTTTATTTACCTATTTGCAATGCACAAAGAAAAACTAAATGTAGAAGAAAAAATGCGAAAACCTCGGATTTAAATCCGAGTGTTATGTGTACTTCAAAAAGTGAACAGGTATATTCACTTTGTTTTTTATCATTTGAGACATATCTAGGCACTTTGCTTTCTGGATGCAGTTTTTGGGCATTTTGAGATCTTTTTCAAGCGATGTTTTGTTAG